GGCTGGATATTAGGAAAAGGTTCTTCCCCCAGAGGGTGGTTGGGCACTGACCAGGCTCCCCAGGGCATTGGGCACATCCCCAAGGCTGTCAGAGCTCAAGGAGTGTTTGGACAACGCTCTCAGGCACAGGGTGGGATTGTTGGGGTGTCCTGCTGCAGGGCCAGGAATTGGACTTGATGATGATACTTGTGGGTCCCTTTCAACTTAGGATATTCTATGATTCTATGGACAGGGCTCTGAGCAACCTGGTCTAGGAGAGAGCCCTTATTTTTCAGGGAGCTGGACATGGAGCACAGAGCTGCTGTCCCCTGGAAACTTCCCCTCTTCCAGCCAGACAGCCTATTCCCACACAGTTTGATGTTTATCTGGAAATCCTGGCTGCTCCCGTTGCACGGAGTGGATCATCTCATCTACAGTCAGCCCTGACGTTGCCTCTGGGCTACCAAACATACCACTGTGCCCACAGCAAATCCCACCAGCTCAAGGTGGCCACTGGCCAAGTGTGATCCCGGAATGCTGTTCATGCATGCCAAGTTCCAGGGTCTTGGAAGAATGGGACTGACTTTGCATGCTCACTCCTCTTCAGGTAACATCCCAACTCTATCCCACCACTTAAACCCAGGCTACAGAGACACTTGTCCCACTCTCTGTTTCCATGGAGATGAAAATGGGGCTCAGCCCACCAGCACTCCTGTCACACCTTCAAACCCACCTTGGACAAGACTTTGGGCAGGTGCCTGCTCCACCAGCATCAACTGCCTAATGACAAATGCTCAATTTCCCAATTTTCTTGCCAATTTCCTGATTTCCTTGCCATCATGGGTGAAAACCAGCAGAGTTCATCACACCTGCCCTCAGAAGCAATTTTGTCCCAGTAACTTGGCTGCCCTGCTCCCTAGTGATGCAGCTCTGCTCGCTCCCCATGCAGGACACTTGGCACTTGGAGCTCTTCCCTCAGCACAAGCAGAACGGAGCAGTACAAGTCCTGCTGCATTCCTCAGCTGATTAAACCTGTTAAATGGCAACCATAACTCCTTGGGAAGATAAGATAAGTGAAAGAGTTTACAGCTTACCCAAGGAGCTGTGTGAGCTGAGAGAGTCAAAACCAAGACCTGGTGTCTTCAAAGCAGCACACAGCCACCTGCAAGGCTCCAATCCTGCACTCACTCCAGAGAAATCCAGAGAATTATTTACACTGTCCTGCACCCTGCTAGACTGTTTACTCAGTTGGGAATTTGTCCTATTGCACCAATCCACTCCCCACTTGGGAAGCATCAGCTAAAACTCAGCTCTGGCCAGCAAAGGACCTTTGCTCGAGAGCTGTGGGAGCACTGGGGGCTGTTTTCTGTCCCCCCACTTAGCCTGCTGGGAGGCTGGCTGGCTGCAGCAGCACCAGTTTATCCATCAGTACCTTTTACTGGTTCTGCTGAGGTCATGATGGTACCAGAAAGACAGAAAGGATGGGCAGAAAGCATACCCTGTGCTTGCAGACTCCACTAACACAATGCAGTGGTGCCTGAACCCTCGTGCCAGTGCTGCGGCCGTGCCCTCGCACACCCCTGCCCAGCACACTCGCTGGGAGAAGCATCCTGGAAAATCCCTCTGGGTACCAAAGCAAGAGAACTCCTTTGGCCTGGCACATTGCTTTACATGAGCTGTGGGACCCTCTCACAGCACCTCTCTCTTAATATGGACTCAGCCTGCTAGAAAACAGCTATTCTCAATCTAAAATGTCCAGTGGTGGCACATCTACTGCCACAGTCGGTAGCATGTTTCAGCAGCTGATGCACACAAGACTGAAGTGTGGGCCCGGTTCCCAGACCAATGCCAGTTCCTAGCCCAGGCTTTAGCTGAGGAGTTCCCTGCTATGGCCACCTGCAGCCATGTGTGTTCTCACAGGTTGCAACCAGCTCCTCCTCACCTTCCCTGCAGCCAGCAGAGCTCTCCAAATCTTTTCATCTACCATACAGCCTGCTTCCCAGTCAATCTATTCATAGAATCACAGAATCCCAGACTGGTTTGGGTTGGAAGGGACCTTAAAGACCATCTTGTTCCATCCCCCTGCCATGGGCAGAGACACCTTCCACCAGCCCAGGTTGCTCCAAGCCCCGTCCAACCTGGCCTTGAACACTTCCAGGGATGGGGCAGTCACAGCTTCTCTGGGCAGCCTGTGCCAGGGCCTCATTACACTCAGAGGGAAGAATTTCTTCCCAATATTCCTGCCCTCTTTCTCTATAAAGCCATTCCCCCTTGTCCTGTCATTCCAGGCCCTTGTCCCAAGTCCCTCTCCAGCTCTCTTGGAGCTCCTTTAGGCCCTGGAAGGGGCTCTCAGGTCTCCCTGGAGCCTTCTCTTTTCCAGGCTGAACACCCCCAGCTCTCCCAGCCTGGCTCCAGAACAGAGGGGCTCCAGCCCTTGGAGCACCTCTGTGGCCTCCTCTCTAGCAGCTCCATGTCTTGCTTGTGCTGAGTACTCCAGAGCTGGAGGCAGTACTGCGGGTGGGGTCTCACAAGGGCAGACCAACCTAATTTTCCTACATCCTTCTTGCTCTGGGACACTAAAGCAGAGCACACTCTTCTAGTAACACCCCAACACAAAGTCAGCAGACACAGAAGCCTCCATGACACTCAGGTGTTCAGGCATTAGCCTACATCTTGACCCTGGAACAGTACCGTCCCTGTGCAACCAGTATTTCCCGGGATAGTCTCCCCTTTTTGCTTCACTCCACCTTCGAGGCAATTCCAGTCGCTACCTGTGCTCTGCCCTGGGTCCTCTTGCTGTCACTACTCACCTGCACAGGAGGCAGCAGGTTACCCATCGTCTCCCAGGAGAAACTGCAGCCACTTTGCTTGCCCTCCATTCCAGAGCATCTCCACTGAGTCCTCATCCCCACCTCTCACTGGAGGAGGACATTTGCCTCCAGGTCCCAATGGCCCTCCAGCACTTCTCTGGGCTCAGCAGAGCTTGAAGAGTCATAGAATCCTGAGTTGAAAGGGACCCACAAGTATCATCATCAAGTCCAATTCCTGGCCCTGCAGCAGGACACCCCAACAATCCCACCCTGTGCCTGAGAGCGTTGTCCAAACACTCCTTGAGCTCTGACAGCCTTGGGGATGTGCCCAATGCCCTGAGGAGCCTGGTCAGTGCCCAACCACCCTCTGGGGGAAGAACCTTTTCCTAATATCCAGCCTAACCTTCTCCTGATACAGCTCCAGCCATTCCCTCAGGTCCTGTCACTGGTCACACAGAGAAGAGAGCGGTGCTGCCCCTCTGCTGGCCCTTACGAGGAAGCTGCAGACTGTGATGAGGTCTCCCCTCAGTCTCCTCTTCTACAGACTGAAAAAGCTGTCATGGTTTAGGAATGGTATTCCCCAATTTAGTGCTCCCACTAAAAACCCACTGCCACTCGCTCCCCTCTCTCCTTCCCCCTTCCTTCCTGTGGGCTGGAGAGAAGAACTGGAGGCACAAAAGGTAAAGATCACTGGTTGAGATAGAACAATTTACTGGAAAACAGCAATGAGATAAGAAAAGGAACAGTAACAGCGACAATATTAGTAACAAAAGTGTACAAAAGAGAGAGTGATTTACATGCAAAAATGCTCACTACCGAGTTGGACCCAATCTCAGCCACACTACCCCACTGCTCCTTCCACAGGACCAGCATTACCCAAAACACTCCCTCCGGCTCAGAACCAGCATTACCACCACACTTGCTCACCTGGAAGGAATCCCTTCTTCCCCCTGCCTCCAGAAATGACATGAGGTGGTATAGAATAACCTCTGGGTCCTGGTCATGGCCCCTCCTGGCTACTGAAAAAATTCACCCTGTCCTGGCAGGCACCAGGACACAAGCCAAGTGACCTCAGCTGCTCCTCATCACATGAAGATTTAATCCAAGAGAGTCCAGTGCATCCCTCTGTAGAATGGTCTAATACATAAATTCCCATTGCAATGAAAAAAACTAATTCATTCCTGGATGAATTTAACTAATAAGAAGAATTTATGGCCCATGAAGCCCCTAAAGTTTAGCCCAAAGTAGCCTGTAGTACATGGATTATTCTAGGATATTACCACAGCCAATACTTCCATTTAAAGCAAATAGCTGCCAGACTCCTGGTGTGTCCCACACACCTGACATTGCTCCCTCGCTGGAACAAAAGCTATTCCAAGCTATTTTCTTCCACACATGGATGGAGCCCACTAAGATGTCGGCCATCAGCCTGATGGAACCTGTTCTTCTACCCCAGAAAAGAGGCATCAGCCTGTAAAGCACAGTGAAGGGGACAGCCACTTTTTAGACTTCAGAAAACTCTTACATCAGGGCAGTGAATGTGCCCAGCTGAAGTGTGTTCTCATTTGCAAAAGATCTGAAAAACTGCATCCTTAGTGGAAAGAGCAAATTGATGAGCTCAGCTGGAAGAGCCAGGCACTGCAGCCAGGATGGAGCACACTGCCTTCCCCATCAGCTCCCCCCACACACTTCTGGTGCTGCTTCGTAAAATCACCTAAGGCTACAAATGTATAAAAAATTGTCTGGGTTGGCTAACACAAGCTGAGCAGACCCTCCTGAGAAATTCTGCTACAGAACATCACCTCTTTCTGAGACAAGTCCCAGCACAGGCCCTGCTGGGAACAGCAGACCTTCTGGTAAAAAACAGTTGTCACTTGTCCATGATATAATTTTTTAAGATTAAAAAAAATGTTTATTTTACTAAGTTCAACTATCATCTCCAGAAACTCTAAAAATGAGACAAGGTGTTCAGATTGGGTTATAAGGTCTCTCAAGTTTTATCTGCAACAAGTTTAGGCACTTACTGTCCGTTCTCCAGGTCCTTCACGTGGCAAACGGATGCTTCCACCATGTCCTTTGGGTTGTGGTAGGGATTGCTGGCAATTGGATGTTCCTCGAGGTGGTAGTGCCGGGCAGTTCCATTGACTTTGTAGATCAGGGGGCTGGCTTTCCCATTGGGTGACATCTCCTCCTTGCTTCTCTCCTTCTCAGGTATCACAACTTCAATTTTCACTTCAACTGCAGGAACAAACAGAAACCTTCATTAAAATGAAGCCAGAAGTTTTGCTGCCATTCTGTCTCTCCCTCCTCCCCTGAACTTGGAAAGGAGCTGACAGACATCAGAACAGACATTTTTTGCTGGCTTCCCTGAGAAGATAAAACATTTAATATCAAACTTGGCTTGATTACCTGAGCCCATTATCCCTCTGTTCTTTCTGCATTGGGCACTTTGTATTCATAAAGTACATATTCTTGCAAGCAGAGTCATGAGTCATCGGTGCAAAACAACCCCTCAGCCACAGTTCTTGTTCTGTTCAGTGGAAAACAGCTTCAAGCAGCTTTATGTGAGGCACGCCAAGGCCTCTGGGGCTCAGGCAGACTTCAAAAAACCCTTTTTAATTGTTTGTAGGTAACACTAACTGAAAGAGAAAGCCAACACTGCATGGTGCATAAAGCTGCTTCATTAGATGAAGATCAATTAATAAAGAACTAGAAATACCAAAATTATTTCCATATGAGGTTTTGAGTGTAGAGTGAGTCCTCAGCATTAGGTAACAGAAGCAAGGATGGTCCATTTTTCTCATGTGTCCATCACTGAACAGGTCTGACAATAAACCATTCCTGTCCTGGGGACCAGGGTACCCAGGGACACATGGGAGCAAGGACAGTGGGGAACAGAGGGGCTCTTCTCGGCTACCCAGGTGAGGATATGCAGAAGTTACTGTGAGAGTGGTGAGGCCCTGGCACAGGTTGCCCAGAGAAGCTGTGGCTGCCCCATCCCTGGAAGTGTCCAAGACCAGGTTGGACAGGACCTGGAGCAACCTGGGATAGTAGAAGGTGTCCCTGCCCATGTCAAGGGGCTGGAACGAGATGGTCTTTAAGGCCCTTTCCAACCCAAACCACTCTACCAATCTATGTTCATCCAAGCTCCCTGAAGGGCAGCACTCACCATCCTCCCCACTCACCCACCCAGCTGCACCCCTGCCCACTGCCCCATGCCTGGGGTAGGCAGACTGGGCACAGAAGCATCAGAGAAAGCCACTGATGAGCTCTCACATCACAAAGTGGAAAACATCACTTTATCTCCTAGGGACTTCATAAAGCTGAAGCCATTAATATTAATAATAAACCCCAGTGAGTTCTATAGCAAGCCAGAGGGAAGTGCCAGAGATTGGTGAAGTGTCTCAAGCACAAAGGAGATCATTGAGCTTTCCCCATCTTATAAAGGTCATGAACAGGAAAAGCTGTACAGAAGATAAAAATTAGAGTTCACAAACTAAACAGATTAAGGAAAGGCCAAAAATAGGGTAAAAATAAGACCTACAGCAAGAGAAGGGCCCTGAGTCTTTTCAGCCTCATCTGTTGTCCCAAAACTTTTACTGCAAGAACATGAAGAGGACAATGGAAGAACAAGTCAGGGGGAAGGCCATTTATTTTGGAAGGGAAAAAAGCAAGTGGCCACGGCCGCCCAGGCGCTGGAAGCAGGCAGCTGTCTTGGGAGTCCTGCAAGTTTCTGCTGTTTGTGTCAGCTCAGCAGGGCATGGGATGGTGTAGCTTTTTGCCAAAGAGCCAAATCTCTGCACTCACCAGGGCAGGATTCACGGGGAAAGTGATTTTCCATGTATGAATGCTGAATTAGCGGAAAACGTCAACTTCTCTTGCTCTGTTGCAGCTGCAGGAGTTAATGCAAACTAACAGGGCCAGCACCATGCATTAAAAAAAACAATACTGCTATGTGCAAATCTATTCCTGGAGCTCTAGAGAAGCAGCCCAGCTGCTACAGGTACCCAGTGAAGAGGCTGCTCTCCATGAGTACTGCTTTCCTAGGGCACTGGGAGAAGCAGACATGGATTTTCGAGGACAGAATTAGGAAATATAACAAATGCCCATTTATGCCAGTCTCAGTGAAATACTTTTGGCCAAAGAAACAGGAGGCTCATGTCATATGATTTCATAGTCAAACAGATTTATCTGCAGCGAATTAGGCTGAGCATCCTTGCAGCCAGACTGCGGAGCCAGAACATGTCTCAGGATGAGACCAGGCTGGCACCAGCAAAGCCAGCAGCTCTGAGCCCTAGCAGTGACACTGATATCAGTGAATTCACCCTGCAGGAAACAACCTCCATGTCTCACTTGGCTGATGCCCCAGGGCTCTGTTTTTCAGAGCACATTTGGGTCAGGTGAGCACTTGGAGTGCTCACTGGTCCACGGGCATGTGAACCTAGAGGGATGAAGATGGAAATGTAGCTCTGCTCTCTTCACTTCTTCCTCAGTCAGAAAAACATATGCAGGAAGCAGCAGGTCTCTGGCACCAGTATGTGACTTGGCATTGCTTGGGACTCACTAACACTGCTGGACAAATGTCCAGAGGAAAAGAAAAAGAGGTATAAAGCCTTCTCTCTTCCTATTTCAGGCTCCACACTTCACCACTTGCCTCTGTGGGAGGCAATTCCCACTTGCCTCTCGCCAACATTTTATCCCCCCATCTCCTCCTTTTCATGGTTCCTACATGGGGTGTCCCTCTGGCCTGAAACCTGCATTCCCGAGAGATGATCCCTCCAGGAATCCAGGGCTCAGCAGCACCTGAGCTGATCCAGCAAACTGCTTCAGTTGCCATCAGGGAAAATGACATTTAAATGAAATATTTATAAACCCAAGTCTAATTCTGAAATCTGATTGGTACAATGGGGCTGGGGCCAGCGCACTCGAGCCCTTTGACAGTCCTATCCTGTAACTGCTAGAAGAGAGCCTGGACCTTAAAGCAAACTGTTCGGAAAGTTTTTGGCATGTGACTACAAATCTGGACAGCAGACAGCTCCTCAGGGACATAGAGGTATGGATATCAATATAGATACATAAGTATGGGTATAGATATAAATAGATATGTATAGGTATAGATAAAATAGATGAGAGACAGACAGAGAGAGATGTGCTGGCTTGCCCTGTGCCATCAGCATCACATATATAAACATATCACATACATAAACATATGTGTTTATGTACATTTTTAATATATATCTATCTTTGGCAGATTTTGGAACGTTTAGGTTGTCCCCCCAAGTTCCTTAAAATGATCATCTCACTTCATGAGGATCAGCACGGCCAAGTCAGATATGGCAACACACTTTCTGAGCCCTTTCTAATAAAGAATGGTGTGAAACAAGGCTGCGTTCTCGCTCCTACCTTATTCACAGTCTTTTTCAGCATGATGCTCCAAAGGGCCACGGCAGACCTCGATGATCAGGACGGTATTTACATTCGATATCGTACTGATGGAAGCCTATTCAACCTAAGGCGACTGAAGGCCCACACTAAGACCCTAAACCATCTTGTCCGGGAGCTGCTTTATGCTGATGACGCTGCCCTTGTTGCCCACACAGAAGCAGCTCTGCAGCGTTTAACATCCTGCTTCGCAGAGGCTGCTGAGCTCTTTGGGCTGGAAGTCAGCTTAAAGAAGACTGAAGTTCTCCATCAACCTGCACCTCAGGAAGTCTTCCATCATCCCCACATCACCATCGGCCAATCAGAACTCAAATCAGTCCAGCAGTTTAATTACTTAGGCAGCCTCATCTCCTCAGATGGTAAGATCGACGGGGAGATAGACAATAGGTTAGCAAAGGCATATAGTGCCTTTGGAAAGCTCCATAAAAGAGTCTGGCGTAATAAACACTTGAAGAAAAGTACCAAGATCAGTGTTTACAGAGCCATAGTGCTGTCTACTCTTTTATATGGTTCCGAAACATGGGTCATCTACCGCCACCACCTGCGTCTCCTAGAACGCTTCCATCAACGCTGCCTCCGTACAATCCTAAACATCCACTGGTCAGACTACGTGACCAATACATCTGTTCTTGAACAGGCAGCAATCACAAGTATTGAAGCCATGCTACTGAGAACGCAACTGCGATGGGCAGGGCACGTCTCCAGGATGAAGGACCAACCACCCCCTCCCTAAGATCCTGCTTTATGGTGAACTTGCCACTGGCTGTCGCAAGAGAGGAGCTCCGAAGAAAAGATACAAGGACTCCCTGAAGCAACAACTCAGCCTCGGGCATATTGATCACCATAACTGGTCTACTCTGGCCTCTAACCGGGAGGCCTGGAGACAGACCATTTATAACGCTGCTGATGCTTTTGAGAAGGCACGCAGGATCACTCTTGAGGAGAAAAGACAACGCAGAAAGAATCGTGCCTTGGAGAATATACCATCTAAGGAGTCTTTCTGCTGTGTCTTCTGCAACCGGACGTGTCTATCTCGTATTGGCCTTTTTAGCCACCAACGCGCTTGCAAGAAACGTGGGTAGAGTCCTTCCCAAATCTTCGTTCGCGAAGCCCGGCCATGATGATGATACATACACACACACATTATATATATATATATTAGGGACTAGGAGGCCAGGGCTGTAAGTATTTTATAAGAATATGGAAAAAAGCAGAGGAACCAGCTGAGCAGGTGCTCATTCCAAACATCCACATACATCACAGCACTGTCAGCTCTCACTATTCAAAAATCCTGAGTCAGCTCCCCAAAGTCACAGAATTGTTTAAAATACAGTCTTGACAAGACTATAAATTTTGACTCATTTTTTTTTCTGCCAGGTTTTCAGCCTTTAGGTCAAGCACTGCTGGGACCCTCCACACACACTCAGGAACTGCATCTCAACCCCATCCATCACAGTTGGCTTAGGTGTTGTTTTCACACAGTGGCCACAATGCTCTTGTGCTTTGCCTCATGCCATTCACACAAGCAGTAAGTCCTTAACACCCCACTGCATCTGTAATTTTATTCCTTCTCCACTATTCACAGCCTTGTGGGACAAGTCAAAGCCTCTGCCTGCTTTTGGGCAGGTACCTGAGACATGAGGCTAGAATTGTTGGCATAGACCCCAGAGCAGGAGCTGGCAGGTAGCTGGGCAGCAGTGCAGGGCCACGGACATTATTTAAAAAAAAATAGGGTAATTAAAAGACTTCTTTATCACAGAACTGGGTTTCCAGTATGGCTCAGAGCCCTTCTAGAGGCTAAATTTAAATTATGGGG